TACGATCAATAGCTAAAGATGCCAGAAAAATGGTTGGGTCTCTGTAATGCTCCAGTAAATACCTGATTGCTTGTGCTATCCTTTACCTTTACAAGAGCCAGATGTCTATCTATAAAAGGCAGGATGTGTGTGTGTGTGTGTGTGTGTGTATAACGAATGCACGGCCGCAATTTTCGGCGGATTTGCACCAAAATTTACATGCACATGCTCCAAGTTAGCGGGAAAGCCAAGACCGACTTTGCATTTCCCAACTCCCATCGATAGTGGAAATAATAGATTTTTTTCATGCTTCTACGGCAGTTTTCATGTAGTTTGCGGCCATTTTCTACTGACCAGAGTGAGAGTCTATAGCTGGCTGTCACGAATAGGCAGGAAGATTCTATTGGTCAGCGTGAGAGCCAACAGCTGACTGACACGAATGCTAACTAGCATGCTATCATGCAAAAAAAATCGATAGCTGCATTCGTCACAAGTGGGAAAAATTTAAATCTGCATGGCACTTTACTCAAATTGGCTCATTGGCTTGCTTAAACTCAACGTTGATTCTGATTCCGCAGAACTGGGTTGGGTGTGAAAAAGTATTTGTTGTTAACATTCTTTTTTCATTCGGTTTTTCCAGTTACGAGTCCTTTATTTAAAGCTGATCGTTTTGTGTTCATTTTGTTTAGTTCTTTTTTTGTAAGAGATTTAATCTTTAGTATAGTGCTTAGAAAAAATTCGCAGTGTGAGATAAGCAAGAAGTAAGGCATGTAGCAACATCAGCACGGCAAAGGGCACTCCTTTAAAGGCAAGGAAGGGCAAAAATATTTTAAGTCAAGTGATAGCGGTTGCTGTATGAGTCGTACGATTTTTGAATCAAGCACGGGCAACGCCGGGCCATGCAGCTAGTCAGGACTAAAATCGAGTACTTCTGCGATATATGGACAGAAGCTGTCCAGTCTTCAGTTTCCAGTCTCGATAGAGTTCAAAAGTGTCTCCGCGTTCTTGTGGGTGACAAATTAGTTTCCACCCTACAACACCTTTTTCACAGATGAAATGTCGCAAGCCTCTCGCTGCTCTATCGCTATTTCCATGGCAAATGTTCAGACGCACATTGTAGAGAACCACCTTCGTATTCCATTTGTGAGATGTAAGTTTCACTCATGCAGCTTCTTCCTTTGAACAGCTGATTTGTGGAACCGGTTCCCAAGGGGATGCTTTCCCGGTCCCAAAAATCTTAACCTGTTGAAGTCTAGTGTTAACCGTTATCTTTCACACATATCCGCATAAACTGTGCATCTTGCTTTGTAGCCTTCTACCTTGAGTGGCACTTGGGTCTTGTACAGAGTGAATATTACTGTAAAAAAAAAACTTCCGCTTTATCATTTTGGGACAGCGGTTGAAAAACTATATTCGGATAATTCAGAATTTCGAATAATTGACAGTATTTACATTATTCGGATTATCGTCCTCGTCTTTGTTGCCATGTTTATCACAACGTTTCGGCCGTTGTACGTTCCGGTCTTCTTCAGGTGATTGGAATGTTTATTTCGCTCGCTGGAGTAGACTGTTCTACCTCCACGTGCCATATCTAATGGATGTCAGTTATCAGTAATCTTCTGCTAATTCCCCTCTCCACCGCCTTAACCAGGTATTGAATTCACACTCTTTGGGCCCTGTCACTGGATCTAACTAACGCCTTTATCCGCTGTGCCATGTGTCCTTGAGGAAACATGGCAAAGTGGATAAACCACCTGAAGAAGGCCGGAGCGCACAACGGCCGAAACATTGCGATAAATATGGCAACAAAGATGAAGACAATAGTCAATTTTTCTCTTTTTTCACGTTTTTTATGCTGTTGAATCTCGGAGCTGGATTAAACTGGATGTATTTGTCCATTTTTTTTCAAAATTTCAGTATATATTTTTTTCATTCTCAAATTTCTTGTCTGAGATGAAACATTAGAATGGGTGATAGTACTGATAGTTTCAAATTTTCTCATAACTTCTCGCCCGCATACTCGAAATCCAGAAAATCGAAATCCGAACAATAAGGCATGTAGTATTAATCAATAAGCAAAATGGATACATAGTAGTAGTGGTAGAAGGATTTTTAAAATTATTTTTTTCTGTAAACCTATTTACATTGAAATTCCATGTATGTCACTCAAAAGTTTATATTGCTGCACTTAACTTTCCGTTTCAATCTTCTTTCTGAGCGCCATTTGCCTTGGAGGCAGACGATCAATGTCCTGTCTTTGGTTTCTCTAAGTAACGTTTGTTTCTTTGAAAAGTATTCACAAAAAAACATTCATTGATCGTGTTTATCACATGCTGATTGATGACAGGCGATTGACTACGAATCAAATTAGCATTTCCCATGAGAGATTTTCGAATATTCTGCACAATAAACTTGAAGGTGGATTCCACGTTTTCTTACATCTGAATCGGTGGATTCCACGTTTTCTTACATCTGAATCAAAAAAGGCAACAGGCACATCACATCATGGGTAAATCTAACATTGTTTTAGGCAGATTCAGCTAGTTTCCTGGAACGTTTCCTAACCTAGAATGAGTGTTGGGTTCATCACTGATCAAGAGACAAAGAGATAATTAACGCAGTCGAAACTCTCCTCCGCATCTGCTCTAACGGCCAGGTTTTTTTTTTATCTGCAGGGAAGATGATGGCTTCTGTTTATTTTAATGCAAAAGGCATTGCCTTTATCCACTATCATCAAAAGGGTCACATGATCAATGGAGAGTACTATGCCAACTTTCTGAGTCAGTTAAAAAAAAAAGGCTATGAAGACGAAACTCGATATATATATATATATATATATATATATATATATATATATATATATATATATATCCATGTAAAATGAGAAGGAATAGAATTCAATTTCGACATTCGTAACATTCAATTTAAAAGAGGCCTTAATAGAAAAGTAGCACAATATTCTCTATTTTAGGTTATTACATCAAAAACATGTAAAAACGCTACACAAATGCAATCATGTTTCGATGCGTATTAACACATCTCATCAAGCGTTAATATATATATATATATATATATATATATATATATATATATATATATGGTAGGACCAGTTCAGCACATACTGTACTTCATTTAAAAAACTCCACTGCTCAGACCTGAGGGAGACGTTCGCGTCCACCAACAATTTCAAAGCTCTGTAGCAATTAAGTACTGCAATGCTATGCCATCGACCCCAGACTCCCTCTTCTTTTTTGTTTTGTGAAACCAATATATATATATATATATATATATATATATATATATATATATATATATATATATATATATATATATATATATATATATATATATATATATATGTATGTATGTATGTATGTATGTATGTAATACCAAAACGTAATTGGTAGGGATTATTAAAAAGAGGATTTTTCAGTCTATGTGAAAGCTATATAGAGCAAATTATATTATAAGAATATTTAGAAAAAAAAAAAAAATTAAAAATCCATAGTGATAAATTTATTTCAATGAATATAAGCATATTCCTTTCATCAGGCCGACTACATTTTATAAAATGGAATTAAGATTTTATACAATGTAGTCAATCTGGTGAGAAGAATATGTTTATATTCATCAAAATAAATTTATTACTGACTATGGGTTTTTATGTGTTTTTCATAATTATTCTTATATATATATATATATATATATATACCGAGTATAACAAAACAGTTGTCCAAATCGTGTAACAGCAAAATTTTTGAACCGTTGTATATTAAAAATGATTTAAAGATAGCTTACTGGAATTCTCCGAGGTTTTTGTAACACTGTTGGAGTCTACTTTAAGCAACAAGAATGTATAATTATTCTTTAAGCTTAACAGAAGAATTGTGATGAAATCAATCATAAACGAAAATAACACGTTCATACTTAATTAAACATAGCTAAGAATCAGAAGCACATGAAGGATTGATATAAAGTTCACACACACACGCGCGCGCGCGCTCACACACATATATATAATTTCAGGATCATTTTCCAACTTATTCAAGATGATATTCCTCCTCTACCCTACTTATCTTCTGTCCTGGAGTAACAAGACTTTCACGTTTCACGCACGATTCTATTTTTAAGTCTTTTTTCCACTTCTATTTCGACTGCCATAACTGACACTCCTCTCTCACGTGCCAAACGTCTTATGGATTGAGTTGGATCTTTTCTAATTGATCTCCTTAGCTTTAAGTTGAAATGATTATCCCTCTTCCTGCTGTGGCCTATTGATACAGTTTTCCTCTCCACTTTCCATCTTATTAAAATTTATTCACACTTCTCTTGACGTTTCTTAAATGGACTTTGAAGATGGAATCTAGAGTATGAATGTTGGTACTATTACTGAAGGCCTAAATGATCTTTTTTCTCTCACTATTACTCAGTTAGGAAGACAGTGGATCTAACACAAACGATTTTAACCTGTTCTCTTTCTAGTTGAATAATCCAAAGACCTTTTCACTGAGTCATACGACAAATGGTGTCAAGATGGCTAAACGTCTTATCTGAAAACCTGGCAAAAACAAAATCAATTAGTTTTTTTTTGTTTTTTTTTAGATATTAAATATATTGTGGGATGGACAATTATGCTGTTACACGATTTGAATAATTTTGCTGCTCTACCCGGTATATTTTGCCTTATGGGTGTTCTCTGTCAAGGTGTATGCCCGTAGAGGACACCGTTCACAGGTTATTTGCAGTGTTAGGCAACGCGGACTTCTGAAGCGATAGGATAGGAGGCTTTATTTCTCGGCGTGGAATTTTAAGTTTGGTGGTATAGACCTCAAACGCCCCGATGATAAGGGGTTCTATAGCGATCGACACGTGCCACATTTTGGCAACTTCAATCTGGAAGTGGTGTATTTCTGGAGCTTGTCAAAGATGTATGGTTTGTTGTGCTCTAGTTTCTTATCTATTGTTATTATTATTAGAAAACTTTTAAAACACATCTGTTTACGGCTTACAGTCGCATAATGTTAAAAACACCGGTCCTCGTACGATCACCGAAGTTAAGCGACGTCAATTTGATTTATGCTTGGATGGGTGACCGTTTAGGAATACCGGGTGTTGTATGGTTCGATGTGCGGCTGGTGTAATGCGTAGGAGCTTGGAATTGGAAATCTGAGAGCTGAGTTCCAATTTCGGTATATTCACTTACGCGCAAATAGGTGTGAATACATCTCATTTCCCTCCAGCTATGGATTAATTAGTAGAACATAGTAAATCAATATCTTCAAAAAAGAATTCTTACAATCTAAAAATATATTCTTGCTTTAAATAACCTGCAAAAGGTTGATAAGCCTAAAAACAAAATCAATCAATCAATCGGTTTAACGCTTGGATCCGTAAGTTGATCTCCGATAGAAAATATTTTGAAATTTAGGTAAAAGTAGTAGACTGAGCAACTATTGCTTTCAACATGCACCCGAAGGACATTGGATAATACATCGACTCAATGTTCTTAATAATAATACATCGACATCCGGACTGAAATTGCTACATTGTGGGATGTTCAGGTCACTACTGTTCAAGTTATCATTGGAGTATCGAAAATAAAGTCCCACCTTAAGAATATCGGAATAGAGCCTAGCTACATGTCGCTTCAGGAGTCTGTGTTACTTGGCTCAGCAATCATTATGAGAAAGCAGATATCCGTCTGAGGTCGTACTACTTGATTGAGAACACCAACAATGCAATATCTTCGGTTGGAAATGAAAAACCGCAAGAAAGAAGAACGTATTCACAGAAGAAAGCTGGTTTCTACATTCTTCGTTTATATTTACATTTTTTTAAGCATTTCACCCCAAGCAAGGCGGAATGCCACTAGCACGCAAGGGGCTACAGAGAGTAGTAACGAGAGTAAAGAGGCGTGATAAAGGAAAAGATGAAGAAAAGGACAGGGAATAGATTAAGGCATCTGGAGATGTCGATTGATATTACATTTGAATAGATGGAGATTATAGCTATTAGGGAAACAAGTAATAGGAAGGGAATTTCACAGATGGGAAGTGCGAGAGATGAAGCTATTGGAGTAGAAGAGACGGCTACATTTAACTGTTTCGACAGTGAAAGGGTGGGTCTGAGATGCCAGCCTAGTTGCACGTTTAAATTCATGCAGTCTGGGAACAAGCGAAAGTAGTTCGTTGGAGCAGTTATCTTGAAAATATTTGTACAAAATGTATGTAGAAATGTATTTAATATGTGAAAATATTACTAATCTTTTAAACACACGACCTTCTGATATATTAAATGTCAGAGTTTTCTGGGTGGTTAAGCATGTCTTACTTTTTCGAAATAGTTGTGTGTTATCCGTTTTATAGTACACGAAACTAGCACTATTATGGTTCAGCTTACACAGTAACGTAATCCAAGGTAGTACCTTTCCAACGCCCATGTTCAAATCACGCACGACATTCCTGTAGGCCATCAAATCACGTGAGATTTTAAAGTGTTATCGTTGTCTTTCGGTGGTTTTAAAATACATGAAGGTAAAGTATGTATTTCATGGCGATTATGTCATCGTTATTTGGATGACAAGAGATTAAGCTTTAAATAATGCAGTCGTGAATATTGAATTACTAAAGTTGGTGACCATGTCTTGAGAAGAAATATCAAAAACTCACCCCAGAGTTTCTTACATAGGACCTAGTAGTTTTGGATCAGGATTCTTCACAGAGGAATTCAGAGTCTGCCTATTAATTCTCTGCTTGCAAATTGTAATAACTATTCTTGCAAATAAAAAAGACAATAAGACTGACAGGCAGACAGACCAAAAAAAGAAAGAAAGAAATAAAGAAAGAACGAGAGAAAGAACGAAAGGAACGAAAGGATATAAGAAAGAAAGCATGAAAGAAAGAAAGAGCGAAAGAAAGAGCGAAAGAAAGAACGAAATAAAGAAAGAAGAAAAGAAAGAAAGAACGAAACAACGAAAGAATAAAAGAAAGAAAGGACGAAATAAAGAACGACAGAATTACGACAGAAAGAAAGAAAGAAAGAAAGAAAGAAAGAAATAATGGTCGAAAGAAAAAAAAAGAAAGAACGAAAGAAAGACGAACCCAAAACCCCATTTTCAAGATCATGAAATATCCCAAATAAACAAGTTAGAGTATAAGTTATCCACAGACGCTTTCTCAGGCACAGATCAAGAGGGTCCTCGTCCACTATTCGGACAAAGGACAATTAAAAACCAATTTAATTACTAGTTAAAGAAATTCAGGCAATGCTTAACTTTCAAAAGGGCGGTTATTTCCTTGACGCCGCTATTACACTTTTGAATCCATCGACAATGTTTATTTACAAGATTATAAAAATATGTTAACCAAATATAATTTGTTATTTACCTTTTATAAAGATTTTTATAAAAAGATGAATTTGAAACGAAATCATTTTATTCAAAAATTCATGAAATAATACAAAATTTTCAAAAGATTTAAATTAAGTACACTGCAAGATTTATTATTTACCATTTTATAGATAACTATGAAGCCATTTTATGCAGTCTAATAAATAGATAGGGTTTAATATGTTTGTTGCCAATTCTCAAGAATAATGAAAATGTATAAACCCACTTTCAAATGTTTGGGTTTTATCAATATACTAATCATCGCTTTTTAAAACAATAACCATTGCCGAGGGAGTCAAAAATGCATACAATAATAGCGGTGTCAAGGGAATTACCATCCTTTGACACACCGTATTGTTTTTTTTGTTTTGTTTTTTTTTTTTTTGCGATCACGAAAATGAAGCATTGTCGAAATTTTATAAATAAAATAAATAATTTCAGATTAGACTAACAAACAAACAAAAAATAAATTTGTATTTCATCTGAATATCGGGTGTGTGAAAAAGTTTCCAGTGAAAGGCCATTTTTTAAGTTTGAGTGACATCGTCGAACCTAGTTGAAATTCCCGCCTAATCTGTTGCGTTCACTTTCACACAAATGGCCCCAGGAAAAGTGCGGGATCAATCTGTTCTCCTTCTCAGCTATAGCCTAGTGGATTGACCTTCCTGGTAGCAACCCGCCGGGAAACAACTCGATTATAGCTTTCACATATACTATTATAATTATCCCTCTGTTCGTTAGTTAACATGACCGTTATTTCCTGTCAATACCTCATAAATAATGGACTAGTCCACGTTTTGATCGCTTGGGAAGAGGGGAAAAGACATTATCGGTTTCAGTGCAAAAATGAAAGAAAAAAGAAAGAAAGAAAGAAAGAAAGAAAGAAAGAAAGAAAGAAAGAAAGAAAGAACGAAAGAAAGAACGAAAGAAAGATAGAAGTGGAGAGAGAATCAGATGAAGCTGATGAAAACAGATACTACACTTTGATCTCAACCAAAAGGCCAAGAAGTAATGGCGACCGCGATAAAGCACCATTTTTAACACTCATATTATTAAACGACGGAAACCGATTTAACGCAATCGTCAAAAATCCATTTACCATAAATTAAATAACATCTACTGAATTATTGAAAAATTGTTATTAAGAGAAATGTTCGTGAGATTTGGTTAGAAATAAGTAAGGGAAGATAAAAGCGTTTAGCGTCTCCTGCCAATATTTCATAAATAATGGGCTATTCCATTTTGATCGCGTGGAAAGAAGGGAAAAGGCAAAACTTTGTTTCAGCCGAAGAAGAAAGAAAGAAAGAAAAGAAAGAAAGAGGTTTTTAACGGCTGTTTCATGGAATATTTTTTCAAATTTTTCGTTGAACTCGACCATTCATATTTATAATTATTATTGCAATATTTTGTTAAAGTTTAAGAATCTTTAACGATGTCATCAACTCGAAAATTTAAATTAGGAAAAAGAATTGATATTTTCCGTGATATTTTCATGGATCTTTGTGGTAACTAATAAATGTTGAACGTTTGATTTTTTTAATAAATTATTTATTTATTGGTATCATGTTAAATTTCTTTGAGTAGTTTTTACTTTATTTTTTACCATTTCCATTGCTGAAAAGGCATGATTCAACTATAAGTAAAAACCTATTTTTTTTTTTCAATTTTGATCTAGCTTGCTTAAAATTCTATATTTGTGCTTGATTCTGGCATTTATTTTTATTGGTCAATAACAAAAAACACAAAATCACCTACTAAGGCATGGGTTTAACCTTGAATGAAGTTTTGAGCATTACAGACCTTCTTCACACTGCTGAACACACCAGATTATGCGCTCTCTCATTGTACTTGTAAATAAGGTTTGCTCAGAATAGTTGCAGTATAGGTTGATTCCGTGGGTTTTGAAAAAACACAGATGAGCCTGAGCATGTGTCTGCAATAGGGCTTAATTTATTATCCCAGCAGATGAACATGCTCAGAAAATGAATAGCTCGCCATTACTTATTGCAGACAAATTCATCACTGTGTGATACTCGCTGTGCTCCATTGTCTTCTGTCAGACTTAGATATTGTTTAGTCAGAATACTTTTACATTGGTGACAATTTTTATATCAATAGACAGATTGTATGTCTCTGTTGTCAGGTATTGTTTTTTTCTAGCGTTGTTATTCTTTGGCTGGTACAAGTTAATTCCTTTAATGCTTTTTGAATACGTGAGTACACTGAAACTAGTCAACCAAGTATCTTCCCAACCGCAATATGGCCTGAGTCCACAAACTGCTGACTTTGATCCAATTCTACAAACGAATGACCTCAATTCAACCTATTTAACTGGTTGCATTAAAATTGGTCTCCGGTTTCATAGTCAGTTCTTTTTTCTTGTTATCTTGTTTTTCAGTTTCTTTGATCTTTGTTCAATTTTTTTTAAATTTCCGAAACTGCGTGATCCTCACTCAATAATAAGGTCTCCTTTCCCTTCTGTGGCTATTATCTTTCTTGGGAATCACTGTTCTAGGATCGCTGCACACTCTCCTCGTCTGGGTTGAAAATGCAGAGAGGTATTTCCTCATGCGTATCATTCTCGGGTTTCGAAGTTATTTTAGATAGGGGGAGCCTTGACAAAAGTTTTGAGCATTACAGACCTTCTTCAAACTGTTGAACACGCCAGGTAACGCGCTCTCTCATAGTTGTTAAGCTCAAATATTTAACGATGCGATAGGGGAATTTCTAC